GCAGGAATAAGGCACTCACACAAAGACCCTTTGGTTTTCATCTCACATCACAATCCCTGCATCTATATTGTAATTTTCACCCATGTTCTTTAAACTGCACAGGGCCTTTCCACCTGTTTTTAAACTACCAGCTCTTCAGCAGCACAACTAACCAGTGTGGAACACTGAGAAACATACAAAAGAAACAGCCCAGCCAAAGGCACTTCAGTTAATTGGAATGGAATTTTAATTTGCTCAAGTTTCTCAGACACCCTAAAACATATTACTGCATGGAAACTTCATTTATAAACTCTCTCACCCAACTCCCAGGCTGGACTTCTGCTTTCCTCCTGCTAGGTCCCCATATCAAATCACTGCTTAAAACAACCCTCAAAAACTATGACTTTGTTTTCAGTTTCCCCCTTTTAGGAAAAAGCTGGGATCCCAGGCTGGCCCAGGCAGTGCCAGACTGACTACAGGGGTGACAGACACCTGGGGGGGCAAACAATCCCTTCCCTGGTGTGCTGCAGTGCTCAGGCACAAGTGAGAGGTGCTGCACTTACCCTCCTTCACTCTCCCCATCATCCCCGTTGGCTGCTCCAGAGCTGGCTGTGAAATAAATGGAGCTGGAGCCTGTGGAATCACTCCTCTCCCTGGCACACGGGAACTGCCTCCGGCGCCTCCCTCGCTGGGTTTCCTCCAGATGGGACCTTTGGGGAAGCAAAGAGAAGCAAATGCAGCTTTGCCAGGGAGACCTGGGCTGTTCCCTTCTCCTCTCCCACTTTCTGGACAGTTCACTCAACATGCAGAGGATTCACAAGGTCCCTGGCTCCTGCCCCAGCAAACATCCTGCAGCCACACAGCACGTTCCACAGCAGGTGTGAGGGAGGCCTGGTCTGTGTGCAACCCACGCCCACAGCGTGGCCACACCATGGGCATTCCTCTCATCTCCTCCCTGAGCAAAGACCCAGGAACCCTGGAACACCCTGCAGAACAGAGGACCCTCCATTCTGCATCAGAAGTTGCCTCCAGGCAGCAGAAATGGCAGTGCAGGAGACAAACCTTTACAGAACAAACCACCTTCCCAGTCTAGAGCATCACCAAGGTGCCAGCACCTCATGTTCCAGAAGAGAAAAAAACCAGCCCTGGCCAAACACACCAGGTTTTTTTACATTAATCTCACTGGAATCCAAAACATCAACCCAATGGGGACTAGAGACATTTTCCCCCCTCTTCTGGGCTTTCAGTAGAGCCCCCAGAGGCAGGGCAGGTGCCCCCAGGGCAGCAGCAGAGGGGCTGGGGTACCTGACTTGGCCCACGATCTCTGCAGCCAGGCCCTGCAGGCTGCTCCGCAGCTCCTCCACCTCCCTCCTCAGCTCCAGGATGTTTCCCAGGACAAAGTCCAGGCGTTCCAGCACATCCACCTGCTGCTCGTGCCTCAGGACAGGGGTGAGCTCAGCACCAGCCCCTGCCCCAGCATCCACCACCCCGGGTACAGCTTCAAGGGAACAAGAGAAGAGAAAGTTCATGAGACGCAAACAGGGAAGGACTCCACAGGGAAGAGTTTCTTGCAACTTTGGGTTTTTTGGGTAATGGATTAAACTGGACGAGGGGATATTTATGCTGGACATTGGGAAGAAATTCTTCCCTGTGAGGGTGGTGAGAGCCTGGCCCAGGTTGCCCAGGGAAGCTGTGGCTGCCCCATCCCTGGCAGTGTTGAAGGGCAGGTTGGATGGGGCTTGGAGCAGCCTGGGCTGCTGGGAGGTGTCCCTGCCCATGCAAGGGGGCTGGAACTAGATGATCTTTAAGGTCCTTCCAACCCAAACCAGTCTGGGATTCCATGATCTGTTTCCAGAAGATGGAGGGAATGAGGTTTGGTCTCAACTATTCCTGCCTGGCCCAAGGTTTGGGTTCCTCAGCTGGTCACTGCTCCCTCCCCTGACCCCAGCCACACTTCACACACTGCAGCAGCAATTAGGGGCAAACAAAGCTCTTTCAGCTACACTTCTATAAACATCCTCTTGTAAGTTGCTGGGGTTTTTTTAAGGAGCAAAATCCATGCTGAGTGTCACAAAGATCACTGGAAGTGAGGAAACTGCTGGGAAGTGTTTTGAAAGTCCTCACTGGCAACTAACTGAGCTCCTGTGCTCCACAGTTCTGTGTCAGCACCACATTTAAAAACACATTCTGCTTTTCTCCTGCATTGTGATCAACCCAGGCCCCCAGCCAGGGAAGGGACCAGCTGCCCAGAGGGCATGTGACAATGAACAAGGGCAATGGGTGCCCATGTTGGCCAAAATAAAAAGCCCTATTCTTTAAATCAAGCAAGCAAACAAACCCCACTCTCTTCTTATTCATGGAAAACAAAGAAACAGCCCCACAGAAACCCAAAGAGGAGACATCAGACTTGAAACAGCAGTTTAGTCACCAAGAAGTGTCACTGCCTTCTGCTGAGGACCCAGGGCCTTCACCAGCCTGGTTGATCATCCTGCAGACAAAGGGTGTCCAACCTGCACCCGAGAGCAGGTTTGCATCTCTGGATATTAAATAAGCTTTCTTCAAAGCTCATAAATATTAAAAAGAAATACACTACCAGTTAGGTCAATTAATTAAGAAGGAACTTATCAGCAACAATGAGAATCTCTCTGAAAAGCAGCCAGGCTTGCAGAAATGCAGGGGTCACCTTCCAGGGGGACCTGTGATAACACCTGAACTCAGAGATAAACCCCTAAACTCTCCAGAATGAAGAGGCACTGCAGCCTTTTCCCAGTTCTTCTCCAGCTCCTGGGGACCCAGGCTGCCTGCTCTGCTGGTGTCTCCAGAAGGAGCAGTGCAGACCCTCACTGCTGCCCTCAGGCACCTGCCCTGCTCCTGCTCCCACACCCCCCCACCCACCCAGTTCCTCCCTGGGCCTGGTATTTCAGGGTGAAGTCCCATGAAACTGGATGAAACGGCCCCCCAGGCCGGGCTGCAGCAGCAGCTGCACCTACCACAGCTGCAGGGCTGCTCCTGCTCTCCCGTCCCGCCCGCGCCGCCGCGGCTGCCTGGGGGAGGAGG